CTGGGTGGGTGGGGCCGGAGGAGGCGGCGGCTGCGGCGGCCTCGCCGGGGATAGGGGTTGGGGGGCTCCGGGCGGCGGTGCTTCCCGCAGATCAATCGCTTGCTGCGGGGAGCGGGTCCCAGAGCTTCCCGAAGCGGCGAGCCGAGCGCGCGGTACTGCCTGCAGGGAAGGGGTTTAGCGTGGCAACCGGCTCGCTTTCTCTTCAGGGTCGCAGGATGCTGCTCACGACCTGGAGACGATGAAAAAGTATAAGGTAACGTTACAGGGAAATAAAAATGCATCTTGTGTAATGCTTGCTAAGTGGATTTCTTAAGTTAAAAGGCCTAAAATATTCTCGAGTAAGTTGAAGAAAGATTGTATTACGTTTGCAGTTTTAAAAGGCTGCTCTGTTTGCAGCTGGGTGGATGCCTGCTAGCTTCACTAGAAGCTGAAATACTTAACTAATGACTGTTTGGAGCTGTTTAGTGGAACAGATTCTCGCATTGCTATATGCCTTTCCGTTTCAGATGCTGAGCAGCATCAGGCCCCCTTGCCTTACAGGGATTGATGAAATGAGAAAAACAAAGTGGCAGCGCTAAGTCTTTCCCGAACCTTGGTCTTTTTACTGTTTCAGTAATGGGGTGATAAGGCCTTTGGACAGTGGTGCTTCTGCAGGACAGGGAGTGCACCAGTCTGGCACCTGATGCCATCTGAATGTCGCTTTGCTGTAAGTTAGAATAACCCACAACTCGGCCCTAGTCTGAACAGAGCAACGATGGCAGGAGGCTAGAGGTGGTCTCACCTGCCAAGTGGATGTATAGCTTACTCGGAAATCCCTCTGCTCAAGTAAATGGTACTGGTAACTCAGTAGGGGGAACATTAAGCTGATTGGTTAGGGCAGGCTTGAAATTTGGGGAATTCTTGTATGGTATGTGCTCTCATTCCTGTTGCTTTGTCTTATTTTCTGTTTGTGTGCTGACAACTCACTTGTCTGTGTAAAATCCTTACTTTAGTCTGTGTTTGTCTGAGCACAGATCTTCTTATTTCCTCTCAAAAAAAGAAGAAAACTGAAATTTATCACAGAGTATTTTAACACGCAGTAAAATTTTGCTTGGGGAAAAGCACTCCGTAGACAGCATATGTATGTAAAACTGTAGGTTTTGTAACTTGTAAGTTACAATCTGTGTATGCCTAAATAATAATTCACCTTTGCTACTGCTGATTTTGCTTACTGTCTTCAGAAAATGCCTTTTTTTTTGCCCTAGGTTACTCATGTTCTAAATGTGGCATATGGAGTCCAAAATGCCTTCCTCAATGACTTTATATACAAGACCATTTCTATTCTGGACCTCCCAGAAACTGATATTACCTCCTATTTCCCAGAGTGTTTTGAGTTTATTGAAAAAGCCAAGATCCAGGTACAGTATATCAATAATTAATGCTACTAGTTATCCTGTTCAGATTATTTATTACCCTATGTTTTAGAGAAATGCTTCTTTAATACAGCTGGACCAGTGGCTGACTTTATCTAAAGAAATCCCATTGTAAGTCATTACATCTGACAGAGGGAAACTATTCTACTTGCTATAATTTATCCATCAGGGATGTTGTTTTTGATTAGAAGAAAGCCTAACAGGGCTTTTACAGATCTGTATGGTTTGTCAGCAGCCATCCACCATCCTGGTGCTTTTCCTTGATCATCAATTGAAGATGCAGCACATTGAGCTGTGAATCCACATACAATTATATACCAACACTACCAAAGAGTGTGTTAGTAGTCTTGGAGCCAACCAGTGATTTAACTGCTAACAAAATCCTGAAAAAGACATGACATAAGAAATAGGGTGAAAGGACTCTTGGGGTTGCTTGGCAGACCTGTCTGTAACCAGTCGGCGATGTCTCATATTTGTTGAATTCAGGCTTACTGTGTAATTTATGACAACCGTTGCTTTGGTATCAAACCTATGAGTTGACAACCAAACTTTATTGCACGGTGTTCCACCGTATCTACCATATTTATTATTTATGTAGATTGGGATAAAAGAACATAATATTGCCCCAGCTTTCTTTGTGTTACACAGTGTTCTTTCCTTCTCTCATTTATCATTTATGAGCTACCTGATATGCAGTGTCACTTAATGACCTTTTCAAGGTTTCTGGTTACAGTTTCCATTTCATTTCTGAATGAGACTTGCCATTCATAACTGCATAGTGTTGTTTTCTGCCACTGGTGTTTATGTTCCAGTTACTATTTTGTAAGCTAAGGAGTTTTCATGAGAACTTTTACAGCAGTATTAATAGTTTTATAATGGGAGAGTTGGGTGAAAGAGCAGGTAGTTGATGGAATAGATGTTTTCCAGGATCAGTTCACGAAGCATGTGATAGTAGCATGCGGAGATAGATCCCTGGATGGTTTGAATCACTTCATTTGCTTTGTTAAAATAGCATTAAAAGAGCTTACGATAAATTGTATCATGATGTGCTCTTCTGTTCAAGTAATCACAAAGAGATACTACTGTTTAATCTCCTAACATGGGGGACGGAAAGATGCTCACTGGTGAGAGAGGATGATGTATGATAGATTATTACTAGAACGTGGTGAACTTAATGAAGGAATATGAGAGCACTTGAATTGGAAAATGCAAGTAAAGCCTGTGCTGTTCAGTAAGTCATTGCTAGCTGGTACTTGTCACAGGACGTACTTATTTAAAACTGTAACTGCTCAGTTCTGTAGACGCCATGGTACAAACTCTGATACTGATCAGAGCTCACCTTTTCTTCTAGGCTCCAAACTGGTAGGCAGATTTTCCATGACATGTTAGGTGACCCATGTCAGATCATAGTGCTATGAATGAGGGATGTGGTTTTTTTTAAAATCTTTCTGTTTAATATCTAATTATAAACCCTCTAAAATCTTGTCTTTCCAGGGAGGAAATCTTAGCTCATGCATTAACATCTCTACTTATTGCTCCCTCTGTCCCTCCTAAAGAAAAAGCCCTGACACCACTGAAAAGTAAAGTGGATCCCTAAGGAACTACATTAGCCAATTGCTCTTCATGAAGAGCTTTATGCTTATTTATAATTTCTTTCCTCGGTGAGGGTTTTTGCCCACTATGTATAACCATTTATGTGTAAATATTTGCTCTGAGGACAGTGCTACACGTAAATGTAAAATTTCCAATTCCGACTTTTCACAGCATCATCAGCAAGGAGTTTTTAGTAAGTCGTTATATATTTTTATATGAAGTTTCTAATACTTGTTACAATCTACTTAATGAATATTCCAACTTATGTTTCATTTGTATCTTGAAGGATGGTGTGGTACTGGTCCACTGTAATGCAGGAGTCTCCCGTGCAGCGGCAGTAGTCATCGGTTTTCTGATGAATTCAGAAAGACTCAGTTTTGCTAGAGCCTTTTCCTTGGTGAAAAATGCAAGGCCTGCGTCTTGTCCAAATCCTGGCTTCATAGAGCAGCTTCACAAGTACCAAGACCAGAATATAAAGGCAAATGGAAGCATAAATGATCATGACTGTTTCACTTCTTTTGATCAGTCTGGTTTGGCTATACAGTAACAAGGTGTTGGATGTACTTTAATGTGTCATTTTGCAGTCCCCTTTCACATGTGCATTTTAAAGTCTTTACATATTTTTTTCTTCTTACCCCCCCTTTGACCCTCTTTTTTTCAGCATGTAATCTAGAGGCCAAATGGTATTCCACTGACTTCAGAGGTTATTTTTCCCAAGAACAAGCTCTTCCCAGAGTGCAAATAAAAAGATAAAGTTAAATTTTCCTTGAAATATTAGAGGGGAAAAAAATGATTTTTTTTATTGAAACATCAGAAAATGTAGGCAATAGAGAAAGGAAATGACGGAGATAATTTGCCCTGTTTAATAGTAAACCAAATTTATGCATTTTAGTTGGTTGTAAAATTTAGATAATAAAGTACCTTGATACTGGATTTTAAATTTATATTGCAACTAAAGAGGATTTTATTGAATTTTGTGGGCTAGCCAGCCATTAAATATTTTTGGAAATTAAAACGGATGGTCTTTTGATGGAAGTAAAAAGGTGTACGATGTTTTCATGCATCACTTCTTTCTACTGTTTCTCACCAAGTAGTGAAGTGCACTAACATAACGTTTTCAAAGCGCTGGGACCAGGTTATGAGGGTTTTTTCGTAGATCATTTTGGTGGAGATCTGAAAAATGTTTATAACAACCTATTTCTGACTCGCTGCTACTACCTTTTCTTTGTGTTCGGTCCTCAGTTGCTGTCCCCTCACTCAGCTCCACAGCATGTATAAAGAACAGAGATTGCAGGACAGGTAACCCTCCTGTCAGATCTCAGGTCTTGAGATGGCATGTTTAAAAAAAATAAAAAGTGAAAGATTTTAATAGTGTTTTTGTGGCCTTCATGCCAGCTGTAAATGGTTTGATATATTAATATACAATAAAATAAAAAGAACACTGTATTTTGATAAGTTTTGTGCTAAAGTGATTTGAAAGGTTTGGTTTCAAGAACTGATACAGTATTCTCTCCTTGTACCCCTACTTTGAACTGTATTGTACTCTTGTGTAAGAATATGCTGTGGCTTGTTCTCAGTATTAATTGCTCATGCTAATACAAGGGTTGGGTTACCCCCCTCCATCTGATTGCTATTCTGTGGTCATCATTTCCCTGTTCCCATCAGGGAGCCGGTCACTGCATTTCCATTGCAGATATAGATGGCTGTGCATGCTGCCAAACTTGGAAAGGGCTGACGGCCCTTTTCCCTGGTGCGTAAGCTTCCCTGCTTCATCTCCATAGCAGGTTTCTGAGGAGACCATAGAAATCATCTAGGGTGAGCATCTGTAATGATAAAAAAAAAAAAAAAATTAGGTCGCGTGCCTAACGATCGCAGTTCACGACACCAGGCCCTCGATACGTAAGCCGGGCCCGGCGGTGGCGCGAAGACACAAAGAGAGCCGGGGCAGCCGCCACCCTCCCCCGACGAGGGCGGCACCC